AGTTTCCCAAAAGAAGGGGACCCCAATATAGACCCCAAAATGTTATAATCCTTGTGATAGGGACCCCTAAAAAGGTACCCCTAATTTGGGGAAACCCCCATATTACAACTGACCCTAAACCCTAAACCCTTACAACTGGCGGGCAGGTCAGCAGAGTGGTGGCGCCGAGCAGTGCCGTGGCTGCTTAGGAGTTTTGAGGGATCAGGGCTTGGGGTTTGGGGTTTGGGCATTAGGGTTTAGGGTTTAAAGATTGTGGGTTGAGGGCTTGGGGTTTGGGGCGTAGGGCAAAGAGTTTGCCATGCGATTCAAGGCTTCAGTGTGGGTTTCGCCTTTAGGGTTTAGGGGTTATCTTCACACTCCGACGTAGTTCTGTCTTTCTTGGGGGGATTTGTTCTGACGCGCTGGTCAGGATTCTGGTCGGGACCAGCAATTAGGTATTATTTGAGTACTGCCCTCCCTCTGAAACAGTTGGATAATATTAATAATTGAACTATAGCCCTGACTACGACCCCTAATATCGACTGTGGCAAGGCATGGACAGGCCCCAAGGCATTCTGTTGGGGGTCCATGTGCGGCTTCAGATTCATTGCATGGGCCTTTTCAGCCTTTCGTTTTCTGCAAAAGCTTGGAGTTGTAGCAGCTTTAAGGGTTTGGGGTTTAGGAAGAACACTTGGGGTGCACATGGGGGCTCCTGGTCAGGTTTCTGTATGCTGGCATTCATCAGACGGAGCCGTGATACTAAAGCGAAAGCTCCCAACCATACCCTTTCCAAATCCTCGACCTAACCCCACAACCCGGGAACAAAGCCGAGTAGTGCCTAAAACCCCGTATCCCGACCCCCAACCCCTACACATCCTGGCCCGCATAGCCTCAGCATGTCCCAGGGCGCGACAGGGCGAGGAGGCGGCGCCGGCCTCGGCCACCGGAACCAGCGAAGTGCCGCCGGGCGAGCTCAACTACGAGGCTTAGGGTTTGGGATTTGCGGCTGAGGGTTTGCAACGGGCTTTAGGGATACAGTCCATCTTAATCTTAAGTAGATGGAATATGGACTTGCCTTATCTTGTAAAAATGATCCCCAGATACCCATATTCTATCTAGATAAGGGGGACTATGGGTATCGGGCTCGAGGTGGGGTGTAGATTTTGGGCGCCAGGCTTTGGGCTTGAAAGCATGGAGGTGCATAAGCAGCTTAGGGTACATAACTTAGGGTTTGGGGATTATAGGTGTTTAGAGTTTAGGGGTTTAGGGAAGGGCGGAGTTAAGTAGTTTTTGTGTCTAGTCGTGGAAGATGAGACTGCTGCAACAGAGTTGGTGGGTTTAGTTCCCACAGGTTCCTGCCCCAAGCGGTATATGTGGCAACGGGAGTGCACAGCATTTTGACCCCTCTTTGGCAAGCCCCGCTTAGCGTCAGTGCTCTTGTCCCAAGGAAGTATGAGGTCTCGGCAACCACTGCTGGGGTTTTGGGGGGGCTGGGGCTATAGGACTGGAACGTAAAACGTTTTCCGTAAAATCCGATGCAGGATCTTGGATTGAGGTCGCGGCATGGGGCCTGAACCGCGTAGCAGACACTCAGACACTCAGACAGTCAGACGCCCAGACGCTGAGACAGTGAGACACTCAGACAGTCATTTGTAGGCAGACAACAGACACTCAGTCAGACAGTCATTTGCAGGTCCTTTCAAGTCTGACTGTCTGACTGTCTGCCTTTCGCGTCTGACTGTCTGACTGTCTGCTTTTCATTTCGGGACCCAAACGCACGCTCTCTCGGATCTTGAGTTCCCGTAAGACTCAACTGTGAGCCCAAGCACCTAAACCTAAACCCTACACCCTCCTACACCCAGAACCAGATCGTGAAGGTAAGCAAGACCTTGACACTATAGTAGGCGCCTCCATATCGCGCGCTGCTAAGGCAATCCCTCCCCTAATAGTAACCTCCCAACCAGACATATCAAATATTCTGATTGCAGAATACTAGACTGCATTGAGGAGATTTAATATCAAGGGACTGGAGGGTTTTAATATTAGGCGGAGGTGATTAACTTACTGCATCGTCAGAGCTTGCGCGCCCAACCCCTACATCCCGAACCTAAACCCCTAAACCCCTAAAATCCTGAATCCCTAAACCCCTAGATCCTGAATCCCCAAACCCCTAAGTCCTGAATCCCTAAACCCCTAAATCCTGAACCCCTAAATCCTAAACCCTAAACCCACCTCCTTGGTGTTCAGGAGATTCTGGAGAAGCCCGGAAAGGAGACGGACAAGTCAGCAGATTGCAAATTCCAACCTGTTCTGCAAGTGTGCTATGGGGTAGGCTTTGGGACCTCAATAATTCCCAACAGTGTTGTCCTAGTTCGAGTGTAGAACAGTGGTATAGCGTATCTGAAAAGACCTTAGCATGATATTGGTAATTATCGGCCATTACAAGGTAGTTTCCCGACATAAGGGGACCCCAATATAGACCCCAAAATATTTTAATCCTTATTATAGGGACCCCCAAAAAGGTACCCCAAATTTTGGGAAACCAACATATTGATTCTGAGAGTTATGGACCCAAATTTTAGGAGTGCACAGCATAGGTTAAGAATAGTGTTGCTCTCATAGAAGGTCACACGGTTTAGGGTGTAGGGTTTAGGGTTTAGGATAATTTTACTGGCTACTTCATGGGCGTCATTCAAATTCTGAGGGCCCCTTTTGCAGACCAACGTATCTTGCTCTTCCTGTAACTCCAATTTCCCGCTGTGTGATGGTAACTGCCGCTTAGATTGTAGGTGCACCCCCCAACCCTAAGCCCTAAACATGTTAAATTGTAGGTGCAACTCATAGGAACTGTAGGCAGCTGGGGTTATACGGTAGGTGGACCTTTGCAGGAGGGCGACGAAGAATCCGCGGGCTCCGACGATTCAGCCCTATAGCTGCAGTTCATGGGGCTTCTCTCAACAAGTAGGCATTAGGAGTTGAGGGTTTAGGGTATAAGGCTTCAGGTTTTAGGGTGTAGGGTTGAAGATCTGTAGGGATATGAGCTGTAGTCTAAAATCCAAGTATCCCCCTTAATAACCTCTACAGTAGTCCCCTGTATTATATGATCCCCTATATAACTCCCTTTAAGGAGTTTAGACCCTGAACCTTTAAACCCTAAATCGTATATAATCCCCTATCTAACCCCCTCTAAGGAGTTTAGATCATGGCTCATATAGGGAAATGCAGAGGATTCATTGGGCCTCGGAATGATGCTCCAGGGAGCAGGTTCTGAGAGACTTCGCCGCGCAACTGCGTCAAGAAATTAATGATGCTAAAGAGGACCTCCCCCCCTAGGGTTCAGGGGTTTAGGCGTTTAGAGTTTTGGGTCTTGCGTTACGTAGGATTCCTCCGCTAATTCCATGAAGGCACATGTGTCATCACAGGTTTGCTTGACCTAGATCCCCCAGAAGTTCTTCAATGCCATTAGCCCTAAACTCTGAGCCCTGAGTGATTGGAGTTCCTTACTTGAACACCTTAGGAAAGAACTGCAACGTCCGCAACATCTTGCGTCTAGCTAGCTGGGCTTGGTGCTTATGATGTGCTTGAAAGTCCTTTGTAGTTAGTGGCAAGTTACAACTTATAATTTAGGAGCCCGAAACATAGCCTAGGTAATTGAACTAGGAACTGAAAGCTTGATTGAAACAATGGCTATAGCCAGCTTTTAGTAAACTGAGACCCTCAAGACAGGCATCCGGCAATCCTGCAGCCATCGGAATGCAAATTGGTATAACTGGGGCTCAAATAGCCTATTTAGGTGATTGGCCTGCCTTTCAGCTCCTTCCTTATATGAGCTATAGTCTAAATTCCGAGAAGGGGTAATCAGAAAGTGTACTACTATAGGGGTTATTAAGCGGGATACTAGGCGTGTAGACTAAAACCTTAAACCCTAAACCCGAGTTTGAAGTTTTTGCTATGGCACGGAGTTTAGACTATGACCCCCCTAAACCCTAAACCCTAAACCGTGGTCCTTGACCTCGCACTTTGAGCTAAGGAGTTGGACGATGACATCGGTCTGGCTCCCACCACGGGTTTAGGGTTCAGGGTTTAGGGTGCAGGGGTTTAGGGTGTAGGGCTTCGGTTAGTGGATCCCGTTTTGAAATGGCTTCAGGTTTCCCAGACAAACCATGGGGATCAATATATCCATTACAGTACTGTACCTCGATTAACCAAGTCATACAAGGATCCCTAATACGAATTAAGGTATACCTGGACCCCAAACGTATGTGAAATAATGGCCTTTATGGCTGTCATTGCAGGTTTAGGGCTACTACTTTACATACATTTGGGGTTTGGGCTCCCTAGATAGTCCATCACCAGCAATTGAGCCATAGTCTGAACTCCTTAACAAGAGGTATATAGAGATTATTTAGGGGATTATGGATTAGGGTTCAGGGTCTAAACTCCGTAAAGCAGGTTCTATAGGGGATTCTTACAGGGGTTATCAAAGGGGATACCAGGAGTTTAGACTATGGCTCATTTGGTGGGTGAGCTGGCTTTTGAGACAGGCCGGACAGTCGGAGAGTTTGCGCCCGCGCTCTCCCTTCGCAAGTTCGAGTTTAGGATTCAGGGCTTACGGCTTGGGGTTTAGGATTTAGGGTTGAGGGTTTAGTGTGTTGGGTAATGTACCTGCAACTCCAATTACGGACGGTTAGAGTGTAATCCGCCCCTGATGAGCAGGTAGAACCCAGAAAGCTGTAGGTGTTTGGGGTTGCGTGTGAGCTGAGAGAAGGATTGTGCAGCCTTTTTTCTGTAGCCCAGATACAGGGCGGCTCTGGTGATTCTCGCCAGCTTCCAACATGTCCTTCAGCACCAGCAAGACTTTACCTAAATAAGCATGAGGCCCGGCAAATGCCTGTTGCAAACGGAAAGAAGCCCGCCTTTTGTGGATCCATGTTTCTCTCTTGTGGCTCGTAGCGCCCTAAACAGCCCTAAAGCGTGCTTCAGCTTTATTCGGAAGACCCTGATTCTGACCTGATTGTGAGGTCCAACGGATGAGGAGATCAACGAGATCTTCCTGAAGCGCTACTCTTCTTCACGGAAGTGGGTTCTGTTCAGAATTCTGCCTGGCGGCTTCAACCCTAGTATGATACGTAGTAATTGGGCGTAAAACAAGGTACCCAAATTCTAATTTCCCAAAACGGGGGGACCCCAATATAGACCCTGAACAATTATAATCCCAATTATGGGGACCCTCAAATCGGCACCCCTAATCTTGGGAAATCCCCAAAATTACTGGTTTGGGAGTGAAAGCGTCCCACTTCAAACTGCAGTCGCTAGCCCTTCCCGGGTGTTCCTCCAAATCCAGAAGGTGTACGCTTGAAGGCTCATAATTCCGTATGCGTGCTGTTGAAATGGGACAGCTCTACCTACAAGCTGATTCAGGATACTTCCATTCAACACATAACTTACAACTATCCATCATCTTCCGAGTAGCAGCTCAAGCATCGTTAAGGGCCGCCACAAATCTCTCCAAGACGGAGCTTTCAAATCCAACAACTTATAAACCCTGTAAACCCTATACACTCTATACACGATCTAATCCCTAGAATCCCTGTGAAGCCTATACACCCTGTACACTATAGAATCCTTAAAAGCCCTGTAAACCCTATATATGTACACCAAATACCCTTAAAACCCCTGTGAACCCTGAACCCCAGGTTACAAGATGTCCAAAGAGGAGCTCCAGGGCATGGCAGATAAGCTGCTCAGCTTTGGAGGTTTAGTTATCCCTACTCTAAATGGTAGTTTCCCTAAATAAGGGGACCCCAATATAGACCCAAATATACTATAGTCCTTATTATGGGGACCCCCAAAAGGTACCCCTAATTTTGGGAAACCCCCAAATAGCGGTTTATTCATATAGGGTTCATGATTAAGGGAGGACCAATGGACGGTAGTATAACTGGGGAGGGGTAGTAGTAGAACCGGAGAACTCATGAGTTAAGGCTTTCATTTCCCTCTGACATGTGCGAACCATGTGGAGCTTCATATCGGTTCGTTGGTTTCTGAATTCCGAATCTCTCCGCATAACTTGTTTGACGTTGACAAGGTCATGTTTCCAAGAACTTGAGGAAAATCGATGGGATCTAAACTCTTTTTTTTGCGGGCTTGTGGAGCTCAACCTGGCTGATTCTTGCTTCCTGTGATAACCTCTACCCACGAATAAAATAGCCCAAAGCGATAATGACAATCATATTAGCTTACCTACATTTTCCTCTTATACCACTTTTACTGGGCGGCGGCCTAACCGAACTATGACTATAATCCCGCTTTCAATTTCATCTTCCATGTTCTTTTCCATTTGATTCTCCTTAATAGGTGTGATCCCCAAACCCTATATGTGCTATAGTCTAAACTCCAAGTATCCCCCTTAATACACCTGATAATACTGCCCCATGTGATCCCTTATAAAACCACCCCTGAAGGCGTTTAGACCATGGCTCATATGCCTCTAGTTTGGTTCACTGAGGATGGGCATTCAACTCAACAATCTCTGCTACCTCAAGCAGGCGAGACCTTTCGAATCGGCAAGCCAAGGGCATGTCCGAAGACAAGTAACTAAAACTTTCCCGGCGCTTCAAAATTTGGGTTATAAGGTCCCCAGTGGTGGGTACATAGGCTTGAATAAGATTTTAGGGACCAAAGAGGGAGAATCAATTTGAAAAAGAGCACGGAAAAAGAAATGGAAACAGGGTTTAGGGTGTAGGGCCCTTAACTCACAATGTCTTCTTGACAAGGGTCGCAGAACAATACTCCTATTTTTCTGGGGGGAGTCACACTTCTGAGGGATTTCGTGATGTTTCATGTTCGTTTTGAGGACTCTTTCGGTGATTCCCTTCTTTGTTTCAGGCCATTCTCTGGGTAGGCCCCTGAAATATCGAATATTTTCCCTAGTGGCTTTAATAAGAGACCCTATATGCTCATATTTTTAAATGGGCTTTAGGGGCCAACCCAGTTCTTTACGGTTTCAGGGTTTAGGGTTTAGGGCGTTTTCCCTAAATCCTAAACCCCAAACCATATGCGTTAAACCTCATGGTTGTAGACCTTGACCGGCATTCCGTATTCTTCCGGTGTTTGTTTGGCTCTTGTGACTGAATCCGGCATGCCTGGGGGCCTTCGATTTGCAGTCTATTGTGAGTGTGCCCAGTGCCTCTTATGTAGTTCCTTTTTGGGTCTGAAATTTCATACCGGACACAAACCCTTCAACGAAAAACGGGAAAATTAACTTAATATATATACTCATACGTATATAGATATATAGGGTAGGCAAGCCTTGGGTCCCACATTGTTTCGGATCCAACCACGCGGTCAAGGGTTCAGGGTTCAGGGTGAGGCCATCGGCTCCTTACCAGGCCTAGGGAACAGGAAAAAAAGTGAGGTCATGTGGGCTCGTTTTTCGGCCTGCAGGATCAACTTTCACGAAAGTGCCGGACCACAGGGGGGCCTTTTGAAGAGGTTTAGGGTTTAGGGTACTGTCCTTTTGCTAGAGGTCTTTGCGGAGGGTTTTGGCTGGTGAGGCAAGCCTTTTGTTCGAACAGGTTTGGTCAAGATTGCTTGCCAACAATGCCACATCTGCGCGGCTTGAATTTTGGTGTCAGCCTGCCAGAGAAGAACTGCACAAAAGCAGTAGCTGAGCTGGGCTTAGGGTTGTGGGGAGTGGTTACCAAAAGCATTGCAGGAGTTCGATGCCTACGACGAAGACCGGAGTGGCTACATTGACGTCAAGGACAGCTCTAAACCCTAAACTAGCATGGTATGGTGCTTTCAGAGCAGGCGGGTCTTGTTGACTTGCTGATATCCACTAGGTAGGAAAATGATGTATAGCCAGGTAGGGATGATGTATGCAAGTGAGTATGACCATGTGTATTAATTAAATGTTATTGCGCGTGTGATTTTTTGTGTCTCCTACTTCTAGATTCAGTGTTGATGTTGTACTATTTTCATTTCTACCTTGGCCTTGCGCGAGCTATTCCAAGACGGCCTCATTTAGCTAGAAGCAGGGACCGCCCGCACACCGCTGACCTCATAATTCTTATTATAATCTGACCGTCTTGCGGTACAAAGACCTGTGCAGTCCCGGTGTAAACCTTTTTCTGGGTTGCTGTTAAG